TTCCTCTTTCTCCACTGTCTGGACTTCAGAGACCAGCAGCTTTCAGCTGCGGTCTGGACCCAGGAACAGAGACACCGACTCACCGGAGGCCCAAGAGATGAAAGAACGGAGCGTAGAGGAGCCAATGAGGGAGTGGAGGAGGAAAAGAAACAAAGCAGGAGAGAGTAAAATATGATTATGATCTAATATTAGCAGTTTATACTCAGTTGAATTTTGTAGATTAACATTTTATTCATCAAAATAGTTTTTTTAAATCCTGAAGTTATGGTATGCAGACGGGGAACATTCAGACTCCATGCAGGCCGGGATTCAAACCTGAGACCTTCTTGTTGCAGCAGAGCTACCAACTGCAGCCGCTGCACATTTATTTAAAAAATAAATACACTTAAGACAATTTTACTTTATTTCTGTTTCTTACAGTATCACAAAGAAAAGTAGTAAACAGGGTCGAAACGATTACTCAGATTAATCATGATTAATCTTTTTAGTTGACTAACTTAGTAATCGATTAATTGTTAACTGGATCATATAGTTAGCGATTCAGTCAGAGAAGTAAGTACTTACTAAAGAACATATGCATTTTGTATTTAAAATGAAAAAAAATAAACTATTTTTTATCTGTTTGTTCTACTCAAACCTCCCCAAGTGACACTTTTAGCTTGACCTGGTTCAAATTCAGTAAAAAAAAAAAAAAAAAACTTTTGTAAATCAATAGTTAGTCAGTTATTCCTAAAATAATCAATAGATTAGCCCTGCATTGTATTGATGCAAAGAAGAAAGATCAGAGCTTTTCACATGTTGATTTTAGCTTCAGATGTTCAGACATTCGCCACGCTGCCGCATTTTATGCAACGAAATATGTATTTTTTTTAAAATGAAATCATCAGCGTGATTTTAAACCAGAATCGTTGTTGGCTGCAGTCCTAATCGTAGAATCACAACACGCCTCCCGGAACGATTGATGCTGAAGGTCAAAGGCTTTTCCAGTTGCAGCTGTGAACGTAACTTCATCAAATATTTGCGATCTGAGGGAAACGGGTCGCGTCGGGCTGTTTTAGTTTATTTTCATCCGGGTCAGGGATCTGGTCCTGTGGTTTCCATAGCAATGCCACCGATCAGGTCAGAAACAATGAATCAATAAAGTTCAAGTTCTGAGTTACTGTCCACAAGAGAAATGCAGAAATGCTTCATTACATGAGCCGTGACACAGATTGATTAGAAAAATCTGTTCTAGACCAAACCAGCAAGAAAGAACCAGCAAATATTTCCCAAAACACACACACACACACACACACACACACACACACACACACACACACACACACACACACACACACACACACACACACCCTCACTCAGAGGGGTCCTTCCCAGCATGAGGGCATAAAATGTGAATAATTCCACAGATAATTTGGCTGCCACAGCCTGGCAATGGGAATAACAACTTTACAGAGATAAAAAGCACAATAAGACAGAGAACAAACAGCGAAGCAAATCACCCAAGGCCAGATGCTGCGTTGAAGCCAAAGTGCTATTTGTGAAGAAAAAAAACCTCTTCTTGAGCCTGATGAAGAAAACAGAAATGTTGTCATTTATTTCCCCTTTTTCCAATTCCTTTTTCTCTTTCCTCACGTTGTTCCCTTCTGGGAATAAAAAATATGTGACATGAGCCTCTGAACTGTGAGAATGAAGCTGAGAACATGTGATTTTCTGGACTCCTTTGACAGAGAATAATTACTACACACACACACACACACACGCACACACACATACACACACACACACACACACACACACACACACACACACACACACATACACACACACACACACACCCACACACACACCTAGAGACATCTGGCTCTCCAACCATCTATTCACACTCAGCGTTAGGAGTGTGTCCTTCAGTCAGATGTTAAAGCCATTGTTTAGATATGTGTGAACAAATAAATCGGAATGAAAAATAAGCATACTCATAAACACAACAGCATAAAAAGCATGAAAGCAGGTTTTATTTTCACATGCTATTCAAAACATGCATTTTTATAAATAATTTTCCAATGATATGTGACCGCTTCATGTTTGCAGAAGCGTGTCTGTAGCAGGATGTGTGCTCACATGTCTGGTATGGGAAGAGTAAAGGAGATGCAGGGGAAAGGAAAGGCTGCAGTCTTTTCTGTAGTGTCAGCCTTTGATCAGCATCCCTGCGTGTGCATGCGTGTGTGGGTGTGTGCATGTGTGTGTGTGTGTGTGTGTGCGTGTGTGTGTGTGTGTGTGTGTGTGTGTTGGAGCCAACCCCTGGTGTCTTGGAGGCAGATGAAACACTGCTCCTCTATCCGGGAGTCACAGAACACCCACTGTCCTCTGCGCCTGCTCCTTTTATTTATCTCTCCTCTCTGCCTCGCCCATCTAACCCGTCATTCCTCACCGGTTTTAAATACGACTCAAGCAGAGCAGGGTTTTCGTGCCGCGTCGCCATGCTTGAACCCGTCCTCCACGTTTTCCCAACCCTTCGTCAGATTATGGGGCGTGGAGGGGGAGGCCATCGCACGCTGACTTATTGTCAGACGAAGAGAGAGGAGGAGAAACAACACGAGCACGATTTCAGTCCGCTGAAATAAAACTATTAACACCCAGAGAACAAAACATTCAATGCGTCATTAAGCTGCACAAAAAGAATAAGAAACAGATTTATGTATTTCCATCCTCTCATACCTGGACGTTTCAGTAGCAGGTCACCGTATTATCTTCAAAACACGGCGCTGACACAGTGGTATTGCTGTTTTTTAGATTAATCACCCTAATTAATGACCTACTTAGCATAACCGTTGTTTAATTTATTGTGGTGTTTACAGTCGGGCATTAAAGCGGCTTATTCGCCCTGTGTTTGTGCTTCCCTTTAATTAATTTACCCCAATGTGCTGCTTGTTTTTATGTGTTTCTGGAATTTAAAGAGCAGCACCAAAGGGTCCAGTCTCATTGATAAACGCCTTGTTGGCTTTTGGTTCTGTAATACAGAAATGATCAATAAATACAAGCAGAAACTGGAGTTATTTTGGCTTCAGCTGATGAGGAAAACATTTGGTCGTTTATGTTTTCCTCTCCAAGTGTATAAATCTTAGACAAACTCTTATTGTTTATTGTCAAATTCAGTTACAGACAATATGAACATTCAAACAACAGATTATGAAGTCCATCTATTATTTGTTTCTGAGATAATTTCATCAGGCTGTAAGGAATATTGAGACTGCAGAACATGAACATCAAACTTTTCTTCAAAATGTCACTTTTATGCCCATATAATCCATATAAAATACAGATTTTATAAGATCTTTCTTTATTTAATCTTTTGTGTTTGATAACTGCTCTACTTTTCGCCTGTATTAATATTAATATGATTTTTATTAATCGTTCTAGTACTAGTATTTTCTGCCAGATTTCTGACTCAGAGTTGTCATTCTTTGTCTTGCCACACAGTGGCGCCATTTTCACACAAATACTAGTTGATAAATATCTGCTGCACATTTTTCTTTTTTTCAGTTTCAGTGTTAACTAAATCACCAACATGAATATAGTAATTTAATACACTAATATCACTTTAGACAATATAATTTACACATATTTATTTAAAAAGTATTAAAAAGAGCTTTTCTAACATCCTGTGTGGATGCGAGATTTACGATGCACTGAAATATTGAGTTCTTCCTAAAAGATAATTAATATATTTATATTCTGACTAGTTCATTGTTTTTGGGTCTCAACTTAATTACTTCGATAAACAGAAACCTGACAACTAATCAGATTGTATCATCCTAACCCCATAAATTCACATTAAAGTGACAAAAAGTCACATTTAGTTACATTATCTAAGCCAGTTTTACTGTAATTTCATAGATGTTGATGCCTTTTAAGGTTTTATCTCTAATTAGTATCCCTCTTTATGTGCTCTGTTTGTTTTTATATCCTAACCTTGCTATCTGTTTATAAGTGTTTAACATCCATTGTTTAGGCTTAATGAACAACTTATCCAGTATGCTTGTCTTTAATAGGCTCTAATTAGAGGTTCCATTCAGAGACTGCCGGTTAATTGCTACCTAAGTGGAGACGAGCTAAGTCTTTGGTTGAACAATTAAAGATACTTAATAGTGAGGCAAATATCAGCTAACAGAGGGAACTGCGTGTCATGGAGATCTGAGGTGCAGAACATGCAGACTTCTGGGTTTAATTAGGTGAACATCAGTGATGTATGGAAAGCTGTCACGTTCAGAGTCAGCATGCTCGGGTTAGACGTGCATCGATTCATGCAGAGTCAGGATCGTGTGTGTGATTTTCTGGACTTGAACGTCGTCAGGAAATCCTTAAAATATTTCTGAAAACAGAGATGATGTCATCAGTGTTTCCAATAAAAATAAGGTTATGAACGTTTAGTAAATATTCAGCATGTTAATGTTTCTACTGCTCCTTTTTTATTACTTTTTAACTGTGCGGTAAAAAGCTCAAATGTTTTTTTATTGATGCTTTTTACATCCCATTCAATAAATTAGGATCTTATTAAAAAGTCCATATATTCCAGGAACTTTATCGCCAAGTGAAACACATTACAAAGATTAATTACATACAGATGGATGTTTAAAAGGATTTATTTCTGTCAAATATGATCATTTACACTTATAACTAATAGAAATGTGACATTTTCAATACAGAAATGGGCTTAATGAAAAGGATGTTATTTTCAAAAGGTATCAGAATATTCTAATTTATTAAATACTGATTCAGCTCTAGATGTTTTTTTTTATTTTTTACTTTATCTAAGACCTCAGGATTAAAACTGTCCAATGTAGAAAAATTGTGAAATGTCAAGTAAAAGTGTTTTTTTATTTTCTTTTTTAATGAGTTTAGAAGTGATAATTGAAGTTTTGTCTAACTCTTTCCTTGTGCTCAGCATTTTAACTACAATCTGATTTACCTTTCAATGAAGAAAACATTATGAAAGCTAACAGCATCATTAATTCTGTGTTTCTCCACTTTTCCGTTTCTCAACCAACATTTCCTCAGCACCGGCGATCAGTCGCGAAGGGGAACTACGGCCTGCTGGACCAGATTCAGGCTCTGCGCTGGCTCAACGAAAACATCGGCCATTTTGGCGGCGACCCCGAGAGGATCACCATCTTTGGATCTGGAGCAGGGGCCTCCTGCGTTAACCTGCTCATCCTGTCTCACCACTCTGAAGGTAAGTTGATGCTTTACTGTGTCGCACTGATTGAGTTTTGTAAAAATATGGATTTTACATATTTTTTAAACCTGTCATCATGTTGGGACAGTATAATATGAGACAGATAATCTGTGAAAAGATCCATCCCATCCTCCTCTTCCCTGAGTTTCTGCTGCCATCTAAAAAAAAATGCACCAAAATCAACCAATCAGAAACAGGAGGAGGGTCTTAGCGCCGTCAATCACACCTATGTACACTTTGCTCAATATGCTAATGGTGGAAGGACAAGAAAACTGATTATCTGCCATCATTGGTGGTTATGCTAACTAGCTTTAGCATTCATAGCAACCTATTCAGAGCAAAGGGAGGCTGTAATTAGCACATTGATTGACAGCAGTAAGACCCTCCTCCTGGCTCTGATTGGTTGTTTTTGGTACATTCCTTCAGATGGTAATATAAACTCAGGGAAAAACAGAGGAGATCAATTTGTTTTTTGCAGATTATCTTATGTTTTACTGTCAGTACATAATGAAAACATTTTGTTTAATAAACGTTACATACTGCTGCTTTAACCAAAGAGAGAAGAATGACAGATTAGGATGACATAAAATGTTTTTGGATTGTATTTGAGCTCTCAGACAGACAGACAGACAGACAGATCTTAATTATGCAGATTGGCAGCTTCAGCCTGTCACCTGTTAAAACCTGTGAGGCTCACTTGACTCTCTGAAAGAAAACACCCAGCTTGTCCTTTGAGCGTACGGATTTGAGCTCCCGGGTGCCTAATGAGCGCGTGCAGGTTTGATCCTCTCTGCGTCGCTCACATCCTCAGAAGATAAATGAGTCGGGAGCGCCGGCATTACCCCACATTACCTGCCTCGCCGACGCTTCTGTTGTGCAGCAGGAAGGCCCTTCCTTCATCAAAACCCTACATGTGTTCGACCTCCTGCTCCCCATTACCAGCACAAAACACCCCGGGGGCTAAGCACTAACGCAGCCTCACCAGAGGACAGAGAACCGCGAACCGGGCCGCTTTGATCTGAGCCGAGATCAGCGTGCTGACAATCCGCGGCCAACGGCCACGCGCTCGCCGCCTTTGATCACGGCGTCTTGAAGCTGTCCTCCTCAGATCGTTGCTCTCTGTTCTCTGCATCGCTCGAGGTCTCGCCCTGAATATCTCTGCCTTCTCGCCCCGTTTTCCCGCCTCACACACAAACGGGAAAGGCCAGAAGTGTGGGTGAACAGAAAGAGATGTGAAAAAGCAGTTTCACATCTGTTCTGATTCTCTGTGTGTCTCTGGACCTCAAGCACCGAGCAGTCATCTGTTTTGACTAATTAATTCTCGGTAAATGTGCTTGGAAAACAAATGTGCTGTGAAAGCTTGACTGAGCCGCTGAAGCCGCTGATGTCTGTTAACCAGCGAATTAATCCAGGAACTTAACTTCTTAACTTTAACTACAACAATTATGCAGCACCTGTTTCTAACATGCTGCAGCGATGAGGAAAAATCTTTACTATTGTTAAATAAAAGCAGTTTTAGTTTACATAGAGATAATTATCTCAGATTTTTAGTTCCATATATCTGAGCTTGAGAAGCTGAAATGCAAATGAAGCTAAACATGATGTTAACTGGCTTTTGCAATTGGTATGATTTATATCTAAAGGCTCAAATATATTCATATTAATGCACCATTAATGCACTTTGTAGTTTGATCACATTCTTTCTGAATATTTAACGACTCTTCCTGGTTTCCAGTCATGAACCAAATTTTCCAGAGGTCTCTAGTCAGGCAGCTTCATCAGTTTTTTGATGCTTGTTCAGAGTCGTCGTCCTGTCCGAACATTCAAATCGTCGCGTTTAGATGAAAGGAAATCGGTCGATTCACAAGTGGTTTCAATATCGACGTGACCTGAGATCAACACAGAAAGACCTGAGATCAACACAGAAAGACCTGAAGTTAAATGAAATTGCAACTAGCCACATCGACACATTAAATGCCTTCTGGAGAAACAAGTTTGAATTGAACTGGGGTTTGCATGTATATTTAAGCCTGGGTGTGTAATTTTGACCAAAGCACAGACGAGTGAAAATCCACAGTAAATTTTCTTAAATGTTCTAATTTGCTGCTGCTTCCCGACTCCAGTGTTAAAAACAAATTATTTGTTTTCCTGATATTAAATAAAAACAACATAGAGGGAATTTTTTCCACAATGTTCCCAAATGACTGAAAACATAATTTATGCCTGAAGTTATAAAGTTCAAACACAAAATCATAAACTGTAATTAACTGTAATCTGCTTAGCATTTATGAAGCCGTCCTAATTGGGTCATTATCACATTTACTGCATAAAACAATAACAAAGAATCACTGGGAGAAGAAATAAAGTTTGTGCAGTTTGATCTTGGCGTTGATTTCACACACAGAGACAGCAGGGATGTCAGCAGCTTGTCTTGGAAGTTTAAAAATTCACTTTAAATCTCTGAATGTGCTTCATTAAAACTTGGTTTTATACATAGACTTTCACAAGTTATGTGTTAATTAGGTAGCTTTTAGAGGTGTTGAGGATATTTTATGACTTTCTGAGCTTCTTGTGTTACTTGCAATAAGAAAGAAATCAATTTCTAAATTCTTCTTCGCTCCTTTTGTCTTTATGTTTAGACTGAAACCTGAAATGTTCACTCTGCATTTTGTCCTTTATCGATTTTATATTGAATTAACCCTTTAACCACCAACTGAACCAACATTAACCCTGTTTCTTTTGTTGCTGACAACCAACCCGCTGTCACTGTCTGTCTTCATCCCTCTGCTTTGGCGTCACCTCATCATCATCACCTTCCTCTTCATCAGCATCTATCGGTGTAACATCAGCTCACTAGAAGCCGTCTGTCTGTCATCCTTCCTCTCCTTCCCCCCTCCGTCACGGATCCGAGGTAAGGAGTCCGTCATTCTGTCATTAAAGGACACCGATCATGTCAGCAACAGGTTCTCACAGATCAAACCTGACAGCGGGGCGGTGATGAAGGCAACGCTTCGTAATGTTGATTATGTGATGAGAGGCAGAGATAGAGGATGGAGAAAATGAGCATCGGTGCCTTGCAGAAGGATTTGCATGTTTACATATTTTGTCACAAAACTTTCATACATTTTTTTGGGATCTTAGGCAGAAAACCAACACAAAGTAGCATGAAATTGGAGTCAGTGTTTGCATGTAGCCTCTGACTTTGTACAATTACAAATAAAAGTTTTTTTATGTAGGTTTACACATCTAGAAACCGACATTTGTGTTTGCCATAGACTCAATAGGATTTAACTAGGCCGTTCAAACGAATGAACATGCTATCATCTACACAACAACCTGATCAGATTCCTTAAAACCGTCGTTACTGTCAGTTACTGCTGACTGGAGCAACTACTTCTACTTTGTCTATTAAATAACAGATCAATAATGCAGAGGTAATTATCAGCACATATATTGCTTTTATCTATTTTTGGTACCTCTTCTAACAACTTACAGGTCAAATACACCAAAACTATAATTAACTGTGTCACAATTATTGATCAGTAACTAAGAGGGTTCATCATTGCTGCCATATTGATTGTGAAAAGTTTGTATCACTGGTTTGTCTACTTGCCTGAGACTTGAAGTGTGCAAAAATAATACTGTAGATGCAAGAAAGTCCCAGGTTTAAAATCCCCGCCTGAGGCTTTTCTGCGTAGAGTTTGTAATTTCTCCCTGTGCGTGCGTGGTTCTCTCCGGGTGCTCCGGTTTCCTCCCACAGTTCACAAACATCACTGTTAGGTCAGATGATTTCTCCTAATTATCCTCAGGTTTGTGTGTTCATGGTTGCATGTCTCTTGTGTTTGTGTTGCCCTGCGATGAACTGCTGACCTGTCCAGGATGCTTCGTTGTTGATTTCTCTCCTTTACTGGAAGATCAGATTCTGATGGCTCCATATTTGTTATGGAAGAATCTGCCAATTAGTACCCAGGTGATAAAGAACAGGGGGAAAAATGAGAAAAGACAAGACGCCAAATAAAGTAGCATAACCGAGGCCAATCTTAAGGACTAACAAAATATAGCTGTCTCCCTGCTCTTTCCCTCTGCCACTCCTGAAGCAGATATGCATGTAGGTGTAGCTGTTTCCCTGCTACTTCTTACTATAATTGATCTCTGAGGGAAAGGAGACTCTGCCGCTCTGCTTAATAATTAACTGACCAATCTTCAGCCCTGGAGAGGAGAGGGAAAGGAAAAAGGAGCGGCCTGAGAGGAAACGGGAGAGGCAGGCGGCCCCTTAACGAGCCACTCGACTGGCTTCAACAGCTCAGGATGGGCAGAACTGAGGAGCCGGAGGGAGACTGAAGCAGGGAGGTGGAGAATTAAGGCAAGGAGAGAAAAGAAAGTTAAAATGGATCTTTTGACTTATGGGAAGAGTTTGTTCCCACTCCTACCTCAGTGTCCTTTGCTGCAGTTCTGTATTCTGCTTTAGAATGGAAATCTTTCAGATTTATGTTATTTCTTCAGAGATTATTGAAAAAAATATTTATTTTTGTTTGCATCACTACCAAAGAATACAGTCCAAAACCTTCAGAAAGGCAGAACATGAATGCCCTTTTTCACTCTCGTCCATTTAGGTCTGTTCCATCGGGCCATTGCTCAGAGCGGCACGGCCATCTCCAGCTGGTCCGTCAACTACCAGCCCCTGAAATACACCAAGAACCTGGCCAAGAAGGTGGGCTGCACCTACTCAGAGACCGCCGACCTGGTGGACTGCCTGAGGAGGAAGACCTTCAGGGAGCTGGTGGACCAGGACATCCAGCCCGCCCGCTACCACATCGCCTTCGGCCCCGTGGTGGACGGAGACGTGGTGCCGGACGACCCGGAGATCCTCATGCAGCAGGTGAGGGTCAGACGACGACCTCGTCATGGTCTGAGTGGCTCTGGAGGAAGTTGAGAAGTCGCAGAGAGGTGTGGATGTGACCTTTTCACGCAGTTACAGGTCAGGCTGTGACACTTAGCAGCTGCTGTGAAGCAACATGTTGGTCAGAGAAAAATAACTCGGCTTGTGCAGGCTGACAGTTAAACCTGTGATAAAATAAAACGAGCTTCATGGTTTTGTGAAGAGCAATTATGTTTCCAAAGACTTTATAATTATTTTATTTATGGCTTCTGGTGTGTTTGTGTTTTATTTCCGTTAATTTACTGTTTTTGATTGTTTTATTTGGATATTTAAAGCTTTACAAAGTTAAACTTTGTTGAGCTTTGAGAGGCCAAAATTGAAATATTTTGTCAAAATCAAAATGTTTAATGAAAATGAAATGAAAATCAACAATATTATCGTATTGCAATAATTTCTGGGACAATTTATCAACCAAAAAATTGTATTACTGTGGCTCATATTTCACAGTTTCTCTGTGAAACGGTGAACCTCTCATGACTTAAATGCATTAAGATGTTTTATTAAGCAAATAACCTATATATATATAATCCAGAAGATTAGATTAGTGACGATTCACTGGAGATAGATGTAAGTTGTTCAAGTAGGAAAGTAAGGTGATTATCCAGAGCCTATTAATATTGAATAGTGAAACAAAATAAGAAACTCAAAACAAAACACATTTCTTGCCACATCAGCCTTCATATGTGAAAGCAGAAAAACTAATTTCTCACCTGCTGATTTTATGATGGACGTCTGAAAGGTGTTACATTTAAATTAAAATGTGGAATTAATCTGCACTGAAGGAGAAATTTGTGGGTGGGGGGGAAAAGCATCGCAGCACCTTTAATAACAACTACAGGTTCTGGTCTCATCTAAATGTGTTTACAAAACTTGTAATTCTGTTGTTGTGCCACTAGGGGGAGTTCCTCAACTATGACATCCTCATAGGTGTGAACCAGGGAGAAGGACTGAAATTTGTGGACGACAGCGAGGACAACGATGGCATCTCTGCTGCAGCAGCGTTCGACTACACGATCTCTAACTTTGTGGACAATCTCTACGGATATCCTGAAGGTGAGGAACCTCGACCACGAACATCCATCAACCTTTGAAATCTCTCTCCACATCATCCAGTTTTATATAAACTCCTGCAGAGATCTAGTCTTGAGCATAAAGAAAACACATCAAGCACCTCAGAATCACAGCTCCCCATTGAAGTGTGCATCTTCAAACAATATGTGAGCAAGAAAATGGGATGAGAAACAAAAAGCGAGTTTGGCGGAGTGTACCAGCGAAGACAAGCATGCTAATGAGATCGCCTATCATGGAGATTATCTTTCACCGCGGTGGGTCTGTGCTTTGGCCTTTGGGGCTCTGTGGGCACTAATGCTGTCGCTCATCAGCCCCCAGGCAGCCACCGTCTCCCAATCACAGTGCTGTTGTTCCCAACAGCTCAGCCTGCAAACCCCTCGCAGCAAGCCGCAGACCAAATACACACGTTTGAATAATGCAGCTCCTCCTCAAGTTCTCGTCAGTCATTGTGGGATCTGAAAGGCAAATTCTGTTCCCTTTGTCACGCCTTTTAACATACGGTGCCTTCAAAAATTATTCACAATCCTTGAGGTTATTTGAATTTTGCCATATTACAGCCACACACTTCAATGCATTTTAGAGAAATTTCTACTTCTTAGTTTGTTAGAAATGTGTCTAATTAAAATGCACACGGTTTCTCTCTACCTCAGCTTTCTTGATCACATTTCTCAATTCCTCTGTCTCCTGTTTTCTTGCAGGCAAAGACATCCTAAGAGAAACCATAAAGTTCATGTACACAGACTGGGCAGACAGGGACAATGGTGACATGAGAAGAAAGACTCTCCTGGCTTTGTTCACAGACCACCAGTGGGTGGCGCCAGCTGTGGCCACTGCTAAACTTCACGCTGAGTTCCAGTCGCCTGTCTATTTCTACACATTTTACCACCACTGCCAGACAGAAACGCGACCCGAATGGGCCGATGCCGCACACGGAGATGAGATACCGTACGTGTTTGGCGTGCCGATGATCGGCGCCACTGACTTGTTCCCGTGCAACTTCTCGAAGAATGACGTGATGCTGAGCGCTGTGGTCATGACTTACTGGACTAACTTTGCCAAAACTGGGTAGGTTTCATTTCAACCTGACATATTTTATTCTGCTTCAGTCAGTAGTTATTGATACATTGGTCTTTTTTAGCATGTTTTCACACCTGATAGTTCTGTAGACCAAAATTGCAACAGACTATGGTGTTTGTTACATATCATTCACAACTCATACGTTTGTTTTGGTTGTATTTACCCAGAATGCCCTGCGTTTTAGTCAACTTCCTGCTTTTGGAACGGTCTCCAGTTCGTTTGGCATTCAAATATGCAGTCAAACCACTCAATAGTTCACTTTAATCAAACAGAGTCCTAGATTAAACCATAGTTTGTTTTTTGATCTGCATCAGACCAATAGTGCATCTTCACACTTACCCAAAAGAACCAGACTTTCTATTCAAGCAAACGAGAGTTTCGTTAAATTGAGCTAAACGGGGCTGTTGTAACCGGATCTTTAGTGAAGCATTCATGGTGTATTTCCAAAACATTCCCAATGCCTTTTCACATTAATCAATGATTCTCTTTTTGTTTTCCATCAGTGACCCCAACCTCCCCGTCCCTCAGGACACGAAGTTCATTCACACCAAACCCAACCGCTTTGAAGAGGTCATCTGGACAAAGTTCAACCCAAAGGACAAGCAGTATCTCCATATTGGCTTAAAACCTCGAGTTCGGGACAACTACAGGGCGAACAAGGTGGCTTTCTGGCTGGAACTTGTCCCCCATCTTCATAGCCTACATGAGATCTTCCCCACCACAACCCGATCACCGTCTGGTCCTGGTCCAGGCCCAGACACCTATAGACCCAGGCCAAGGACTCCAGGTCCTCGAACCACTCCCCACCCTACTCAACCTTCACCTCTGATCCTGAAACCGAGGGCTCGGACCGTCCAATCCAGGACCTCTTTCCTGGAGACACCCGTGACTACTCCACTGAGCTGAGTGTCACGGTGGCTGTGGGAGCCTCTCTTCTGTTCCTCAACATCCTGGCATTCGCGGCCCTTTACTACAAACGCGACAAACGGCACGAGATGCGACGGCACCGACTGTCTCCTCAGCGCGGCGTTCCCGCCAATGACCTCGCTCACAGCCAGGAGGAGGAAATCATGTCCCTGCAGATGAAGCACTCTGAGCACGACGCTCACCACGACCTGGAGCCCCTTCGACCACATGACATCCTGCGACCCGCCTGCCCGCCCGACTACACGCTGGCGCTGCGCCGGGCTCCGGACGATGTGCCATTGATGACGCCCAACACCATCACTATGATCCCAAGCACCATCACCAGCATGCAGCCTCTTCATGCCTTCAACACCTTCCCTTCCACCGGCCACAACAACACCCTGCCACACCCCCACTCCACCACCAGGGTATAGTAGGGACTGGCCCACCCAGCACCACCTAAACACAGGGAGTACTGGACTCTCCGAAATCAGAAGGGAGGCCTGTGGTTGAGGGCCTTCATTCTCTTCTTACATTCTCTCGTTTCTCAAAAAGGAACTCCACCTCCTCCATCATGTGCTGTACAGCTTGGAGACATAATGAACTGCGTTGGAGCAGACGATCAGCTCGGAGGTGACGTCGATCTTTCAGACATACCTTTTTCCAGGAGGGTGCACAGTTTCCAATCTAAAGAAATTTTCAAAGGGACAAACGCTTTTGGACCTTTGATGTTCTCTCTTTTTTACTTTGGTGTCAGCTTTTACTGTCTTCTAGAGTGTTGTGTGAAGTTTCTTATTTGTTTCTTTTCTACATCTGTGTCTTATTTACGGCTCATTCGACTTCTCCCCTCCTTCGGGTGCTTCTTTGCTTTAAGGAGCAACAACGTACTGAGATGTCAGAAGTAAGGTCATTTCAGTCGACCAACACGGTTCGTGCCAAATGTGTTTTTTGCTTTCTGATCAAGGCTGAAATGAATTTTAATCCCTGTCTGATAACAGCTGTATGTTCTCATGACCAAGTGCCAAACTGGCCTTTGATTGTGGTTTTCTTTCATTCATCTTGTTTATTTTTGTTGTTGTTCAAGTGTTTTAATGTGGAAAGATTTTTGCTGACAATATAGTTATAGAGAAATGATATTATATATAGTTCTATATAAATGTGTACAAAGGAGAAAGAATATAAAGGGGGTTTTGTCAATGGGGATCTATGCATGAATTATTTTTCAAGAAAGGCAACATGGAGAAAGGACGGAGAATCAGTCGCCGCACGTTTTCCCACTTCTTAGTCCAAATTAAATATTTCTCAGCTCATAAAATTCTCCCAATTCATTAAAATAGGAATTTGCCACAAATCACAGATAATCCACCAATTAAAGCAACAAAGCTCATCACACCGTTTTATTATTTAAAGGTAAATTTTGCATTAGTTCAACCTGAGACGATGCATTCCAACATTAGCTGGTTTATGTCAGTAGTTTGGGTTCCCAAATGTATTTTATTTTTAACAATGTAAAGAAAGAGATCATTAATTATGCATACAGTTGATCTGTGCCTATGAAGTATTAAATTACATAGATGATATCAGAACTACTTTTTAGATAAGCAAGTTAACTCATCTCACCTCGTTAATATCCTGAATATCCGGTGTAGCTTCAGGCGCACTTTGCGGGTTTTACGGCCTGCAGTGCAGAGCTGCAGAGACGAAGGAGTTTCTCAACAGGGTAAAGGTAACACAGTTGTTGTCTGTTGTTTCTAATTGTTCTCCTTCTGTTAGTTTAGGAATATATCATTTTCCAGCTCTGCTTTTCAAGATGAAGATGTCAAACATGCATTATGGGCCCGTTAGCAGAACAGGAACACATGGTAGCTAACATGCAATATGGCTGACAGGAGTCACCGTCGCTGTCCTTGAACATGCGCTAGCTTTCGCTTGCTTTTATTTTCCGTTTTCTTACTGCCTGGTGGTCGGGGAGGGATGGAACGGGTCAACGCGACAAGCAGCTGAGATTTTATAACTACTGAATGGGAAATGTGCACAATGCAAATCACACGACTGGACAAAGTCTGCAGATCAGGAGCCAACAAGATATAAGGACACGCTGTGGCCAAGAGGAGGACGAAGAAAAACTCGCACAGCCTTAAATGTTGACATTTGAACCAGAAGAGAAAACAAACTGATCAAAAGAAGATTAAAAACATTGACAGACTCCAGAGGGACGACCTGTTAATCTGTCAAAATATGGACTCTTTTGTAGTCCCTCCAGTGGACAAAGGAGGAGGTAACAGGTTGTGAAGTCCATCTGGTGTTGCAGCAGCTGGGAGGAAAACGTTTGTCCTGGATGTGGTGGCTTGTTTTATATGTTGGCACTAGAGGGCGCCATTGTGGCAGATTTCATTCAGTCCAGAGGAACTGAAGACAAACAGTCCTGGTGGGAGGATCGATGGAGGAACACAACATCTGGATCAGGATCAAAACTGTACATTTTTAAGTGTAAGAATCAAACAGATGAAATATTTGTAAATATTAAGTTTCTTGTTTTTTTTTCTTTCTCTGTTTTTTCTTTTTGGGTGGATGAATGATATGCTTATTTGGTGACAACAAAAGACAACAGGTGCAGTTTGCAATTAAAACAAATCAAAGCAAGGAAATGTGTATTTACTCACAATCAGCAGGAAAAGATTTAGTTTTTAAACTTTTGACAGAACATCATCATGTAGATATGCTGTAGCATCATGATTCAGCCTGAATCAGGAAAGTTTCTGTAGCAGAATTTAATAAAAGCCTCACACAACAAAGACCCAAATATCCTGAAAACATGACAAAATAGTCCAACTCTGAAATATCTGCATGAGATTATTTTTATTTAACCACTGAACCCTTTTAACTTCTGAATTATTATGACTTTAAAGTGAAACAGCACCTATAAATTTGACCTTTTTTCACTAATTTGATCCAATTTCAAACAGTCCTGTAGAAACAAATTCACTCCATAAAATATAATTATGTCATGTAGCGGTGTTTCATGTAGCTGCTGATTTATGTGTGGGAAACATGTTAGGGCTTTAACACCATCTGATGCCTCATGAGATCACAGAGGTGGTCCAACCTTTTGATTTCTGTCACTGCGTCGGTTTGTTGTAGTTAAAATTCCTCCTATAGTGAAGTGATGCAGCAGGAAGGTTGATGAGAAAATGAACATTATATCAGGTCGGATCTTGTATCGGTTCAGACGGGCATCAAATCACAAACAGCCAACAAATATTCAATAATCTGCACCTGTTGTCTTGCATTTTATGTTCTATGTTGAATTCAGAAACCCAAGACTTGAGATGAACAAATCTGTTAAATAACGGAAAATTAAAAAAAGATTAAAAAAGGAAAGTGAAATCATATAAATAAATGAGGTGATGATATTTCTGTTACTTTAGAAGTTATTATACACTGTATGCTGTGATTCTGATCTGGGAAACATTAAAGACATTCATAGCCAGACTGCAGTCTGTGTGTCTTTTTATTTTTGACATAATGCAGAACTGGAACAAATTTGAAAGCTGTCGGGATATTTCACAAAATAATATTAAAGTACATAAAAAGTACAAGTAAGTAAGTTAATTTAAAAACAGCTTTATAATTTGACATCCATATTGTTTCAGCTCAGTTTTAAGCCCTTGTGTAATTAATGACTATGTTTTTTTGGTACACTTTTTATTTTGCTCATAGATGCATTTATTTAGCTTTAACGTTTTATCTTTTCTAGATTGTTTTCCCAATAAGCCTCTTTACTTCCAGATGTTCTTTTTATATTTTTGTGCCTTTTGTTTTTTTAATTTATTTATTTCTGCCTCATTATTAAGTGATCAATTTGTTTATTGGGTCAACTATATATATATATATATATATATATATATATATATATATATATTATATATATATATATATATTATATATTATATATATATATATATATATATATATATATATATATATCGTCAGATAAGACTTGTATGTATTCTATTATACAGGATTTTAACAACATATGTTGTTAATGTAGTAAATAATTATGGCGTTGACCTTGCAGAATACCATAACTGACTAACTTGTCACAAATATAGTAATTATTATATTTTCAATGACATGATTACAAAAATTAAAAACATTCCTGCAATATGTGACATAAATCCAGCACCTTCATTTTCCCAGATTAAGGTTAGAAAGGTGTGTAGTCGTAGTCAGACTGCAGCATGCATTTTCACATTTTCACATTATTATTAAATACCTGGTTATCCTCTGTCTGGGAATGCTTTCTTCCAGATGTCCACCAGAGGGCGTCATAACAGAAGTACCTGAAAGGTGGATCACCACACCGCTCTTATCTTTATGCAGCGAAGCAACAGTGCTGAGCTACAGGGTTTTTCCAGACCAGATGGTGGGGAAACGGTATGGAAAAATAAAAAACAATAACACAAAATGTTTCACTGTCAAAATGGTTTTTAATGTGTTTTGTTGCAACCTGAAAAGTGAAGTAAACTTCAGTGTAGTTTGAAAACAAATATGTGTAAGGTTTATGTCTGGAACGATGTGTGTATCCAGTTAATTTTTTTTATTCTTTTTTGAGGGGGATTTGATTTTAATCCATAGGGTGGCCCCAAAAATCTTTGGGAACCACTGGAGGAACCACATTTCCAGACCATCCCATCATTTTCATTGTTCGTTTCAATAAATCTTATTGTTCTTTGAAAAACTTTTTTGCAGAAAAATAAATATGACAGCTTGTGTTTGGGCAGGATCCTTTTTTTTAACCAGATGAAAACCTATTAAATTGCAAAGAATGAAAAAAGAAAAGGGTTCTTATGATGTGTGGAATTTTGAAAAAAATAAAAATAAAAAAGTCTACATACTATGGCAGTCATGAGGAGCAGATTAAATAAACAAATTACATTTATTGACATAGTCATTAAAACCCCACAGACTAACAAATGGCATATTTGATAGTGCTTAAAAGCTGCATTGATCCATTAAAAATGTGAACTTTATTGAGTGATTTGTAAGTAAATGAAAAAAAATCATTATTGGATGTTAACTGTTAAAATGGAAAATTGCCATAAGCTTGACTAAGTAAGATGCACCGTAAAAGAACCTTGATTTTTTTTTTCTTTGTTGAATTTAGAAACTCAACAGTCATACAAAACAGGTCCAAATCATTTTTTTTTCAGTTTGCAAGTTATATTCTAAAATAAATATTATAATTCTCAAATTAAACACAGCCATTTCAGAGATTTTGTTTATTTAGTCTTAACAGAACAATGTAGTGTTACATGTCCATAATTGCTAATGCCTTTATATAAAATACAAAAAACAAAGTTGTTCAAGGGAGTCACATATTTTTAATTACTCAACTGATAACCATGTAACATGGACTTTTTACAACTTCCCTTATTTTATCTTAGCACAAGGAAAATATACATTACTA